AAAATACAAACTAATCTCACTATCTAGTAAGTTTTAGAGATTTCATGGTACAAGAATAACTCAATCTGATTGTATTTTTTTAATTTACTCTAGCTATGGCCTCATTTACTGAACAACATCTTCTCTATGTTTTGGGCCAAAGCCAATAATATGTGTCATTACCTTGTTATAGCTCTCAAATGCCTGTATATTAAGATAGATGAATTGGATTTAATAATGACTACTTAAGATGAAGGGTATACTGTGTCTATTTTCATATGGTTTATTTATCTCTCTGTCTTTTAGATTCCAAGAAAAAAAGAAAACACTACAGTCCTCTTATACTCAGCTCCATGCCTATGTAGCTAACTGCTACATTCTACACAGAAGTATAATGACCCTGATCTATTTTTTGTTCTGTACATATCAATCTAGGCACCAACACCCTCCTTAGAAATTCTGTCTTGGCACAATACCAGGTAGACAGGTAATTAATAAATGCTTCTTGGTGTATTGAACTCCATACAACTCACTCAACCAAATGCATCCCAGAACAGTTATGATCAATAATACTTTTTAATATTCAAAAAAATCAGTCAATTGAAATAGTTTAAAGGGAAAAACATATGAGAATAGTCATCTAATGATAATCAATGAAAATCATGTTTACCCTTTTGGGTTGATCTTCCAGAAACTAAAACTATCATGCTTATCATTCCAATCTAACCACCCAACAGCAAGGTTGTTGGCTCATGCAAGGAAAGTAAGTCATTGGAATCAAGTCCACCAGGAAAAGGAATTAGTCTTTTTCCATGATCATGATTTATAGTGGCTTCTATTCATAACCTAAGTGTTATTCTCTTCTGCTGGTAGTTACTTTTAGAGAAATTGACTCTGTCACAGTGATACTTTCCAACAATCCTTAATGTCAAAAGTAGCCCAAAACCTTTGTGGGCCAGGTTGTGACATGGTAGGATGTCTATAAGTATTTCAAAGACTCAGGGTGATTCAAAGTCAGTTAGAGAGATTCTTTGTGCATTTGAGGTTTCACATTCTGGTGAGTGGCTAAGTTCCATAGAGGAACTTGCAAGTTCAGCAAGGTAACACAGACAATTTAATACAGTATAATATACTGATTATGCAATCAAAATTTACATGGAATATAAGACTATAATAGATATGAAAAAGCCAGGAGGGTTTGCTAAATGATTAAGTGGACAGGGCTTAAAAGTGACCTGTAAGGAATAAGGATTTTATGGATGTAAGAAGTTGGGGCAGAACAGTCACCATTAACTGCATGCGTAAGGTTAGTGTTATTCATCAGCGTCAAGTATGGGACACACACACAAAAAAAACACCATTAGGTGTTTTCACTGTATGGTTGTCTATGGAGGTCACATCTATAATCTCAGCAATTTCACTGGAGAACCCTTGATCACACATGAAACAGGAAGATGTAGGCATTGTCAAAGCTTTAAGGGAGGTCACCAAAACAGAAGGGGTTAACCTTCTTGGGTATATGTCATGTGCTTTGTGGGAAGGGGGGTTGTGAAGTTACCATTACTGGCCTTCTTTTAGTTCTCCTATGAGGGTGTGGGTGACAGACCCAGCAATCTCCAATGCTCTCGCATCCCAAAGCATCACCTATCAGGACCATGGAGTTCCTTGTCATGGTTCAACTTCTTCAATGGAGTAGGTGTCAGGCAAAGCTTAGCAAGAAGGCCAGCAGGCCAGGCAGAGAAGAACCAACATAGAAGAGTACAGTATTCAGGCTGTGCCAGCACGTCTCTGGTCTCAGCAAATGAAAACTAGGCCCTGTGAGTGACTGAATCAGCAGCAGCAGTGGCAATGGCAATGGCTTCTTTTGGGACTCCCAGACAACAATTGGTCAAGGGTTCAAATACCTGGTAAGAAGGACATTATTGAAATCTTTTTGTTAGCACTAGGGCAAGACTCTGTTGCTTTGCTTATACTTGGATCCAGGTCACAGTCCTGGGTGGCAGATCCAGGGCAAGGAGGAGCAGTAGCATGGTAGAACTTTTGGCCATAGTGGAGGTGGGACCCTCCTTACAGTTCCAGGACAGAAAAGAGGCTTGTAATCATTCACAGTCCACAGCACAGGCCAGATGAGTAGTAAACACCTCTCCTTAGATCATAGCACCTTGGAAAAACTGAAAACTTACAGTTTCTAAGAAGTATCTACACAAAACCCCTGAAGCTTGGGACAGTGTGCATTACACCCTGGAAGCAAAGCCCTACCTTAACAGAGTCAAAAAGTCAAGTAATTGGCTGGCAATATGAGCAAACAGTGTTAAAAATTCAGACTATAGAGTATTACTGGAGAATATTCAGAGTATAGAATATTGGGGGACAAAGAAGATCAAAACATCCAAACAGAAGAAGACAACAAAGTCAAAGCTCTTACATCCAAAGCCTCCAAGAAAAATATTAATTGGTGTCAGATCATAGAAGAGCTCAGAAATGATTTTAAAAATCAAGTATGAGAAGTATAGGAAATATGGAGAAGAGAAATGACAGCAATGAAGAAAATCATGAAAAATGAGTAAACAACTTGGTAAAACAGATGCAAAAAAATCCACAGGAAAATAATATGTTAAAAAACCAATTAGGCCAAATGTAAAAGAGGTCCAAAATGTCATGAGGAGAAGAATAACTTAGAAACCAGAATTGGACCAATGGAAAATGGGATTCAAATGCTTACTGAAGAAAATTATTCCTTATTCCTTAAAATTCCTAAGGAATATTCTTTATTCCTTAAAAATGAGAATGGACCAAATGGAAGCGAATGACTTTATCAGAAATCAAGCAGCAATAAAACAAAACAGAAAGAATTCAAAAATAAAAGACAATGTGAAATATCTTAATGGAAAAACAATTGACCTGGCATATAAATCAAGGAGAGATAATTTAAAAATTATTGGGCTACCTGAAAGCCATAGTAAAAAAGAGCCAAAAATTGGAGAGAGGGGGAGAGCCTAGACATTACCTTTCAAGAAATCATCAAGGAAAATTGCCCTGATAGTTAAGAATTGGAGGGTAAAATATAAATGAAAAGAATCCACCAATCACCTCCTGAAAGAGATCCCAAAATGAAAACTGCTAGGAATATTATAGCCAAATTCCAGGCTTCCCAGGTGCAGGAGAAAATATTGAAAGCAGCCAGAAACAAGTCAAGTATGATGGAGCCACAGTGAAGAGAACATTAAAGGAGAGGATGGCTCATGATATGATATTCTGAAAAGAAAAGGAGGTAGGATTACAACCAAGAATCATTTATCCAACAAAACTTAGTATAAACCTTGAGTGCAAAAATAGATATTCAATGAGATAGAGAGGTTTGAAATATTCTTGAGGAAAAACAGGGCTGAAAATAAAATTTGACTTGAAAATAAAGACTAAAAAGAAGCATGAAATAATAAAGAGGAAAGAGAAATCATAAGGGATTTATTAAAATTATATTATTTACATTCCTGCATGGGAAGATGATGTTGATAACTCATAAGACCTTTCTCATTGTTAGGGTTATTAAAATAAATATGTATATGTGTGTGTGTGTGTGTATATATATATATATATATATGTATATATATATATACATATATATATATATATATATATACATATATACATATATATATGGGGGGCACAGGTGTGAGTTGAATATGAAAGGATGGTATCTAAAAAATAAAAATAAGTGTTTAGAGAGGAATTTACAGGGAGAGAGAGAAAGGAAGAGGTAGAATGGGTAAATTATGTGACAAAAAAAGAGGCAAGAAAAAGCTTTTGCAGTGGAGGGGATGAGGTGGGAGGTGAGGGGCAGTGAGTGAAGCTTACTCTAAATTGAATTGGCTTAAGGAGGAAATAACATACACATTCAATTGGGTATTGAAATTTATCTTACACCACAAGAAAATAGGGGAGAAAAGGATAAGAGAAAAGGGGCAAAATAGAAGGCAGAGTAGATTGAGGGAGAGGTTAGTCAGAAGCAAAATGCTTTTGAGGAGGGACAATGCCAACAGACAGAAAGAATAGAACAAAATAAGGAGTGAATAGGATGGAGGGAAATACAATTAACAATACTAATTGTGAAAAAAAATTAAATGTACTTACAACAAACTATATTATCCGTCCCCAAACAATTAATGTAGTTTTAATGCAGATTTAAGCTTATTTTTTAACTTTCTTTATTTTTCTTGAGATTTTTTGTCTGTTCTTTTTTTTACTACATGACTACTATGGAAATATTTCTCTTTTAATAATTGAATGTGAATAAAAATATATGTCCTTCTCAATGGGGGCATGGGTTGAGAAGGAAGAAAGGGAGAGAACTTGGAATTCAAAGTTTCAAAAATGAATGCTTAAAATTATTTTTACGTGTAACTGGGGAAAAATAAAATAATAAATATTTTTTTAAATGAAATGTCTCTCGGTTTGAGGGAAAAAAATATAGCCTTACCTGTCCCTTTAAGAGATAAACCACTCTATATTTCATGGAAGAAAAAGCAGCATGATTCACAGCATTCATTCCTGTTATGTATTGTTCTTGGCAGAGATTAGTAGACTCAGTAATATTTAAGGACAGATGATAGAGATCGATAGATAGGGAGATAGCGAGCTATATAGATTGATATATAGGTACCAACACAAATAGAATGTTATACATATGTATATTATATATATAGATATGTGTATATGTGGACACATATGGGTGTGTATGTTTGTATACATCTATACATATATCTATATGTATAGACACAGATATTTACAAACACACACATACACATATAAATATATAAATTACTATGAAGGTGAGATTACTAGAATAGGGTAAAATAGTGTTTAAATAAGGACTTGAAAATTAGTGAGGAGAATCACACTAGGTTGCTTGAACTATACATTCTAAAATTAGAATAACTACTACATATTCTCTTTCTGAAAGAAGTAACCACTTCAGTGATAGAAGAATTTCCTGACTCCTGACACTATTGGTCTCAATTGAGATTTCTGGAAAAAAACTACTATCAAGTCCTGGCCTTGGTGTTTGCTGTAGAGGAGATCAACAAGGACCCCAATCTGTTACCCAATACTACTCTTGGATTCAACATCTATGACACCCACATCAGTGATGTCAGAACCTTGGAGAGCTCCTTAATGTTGCTGTCAGGACAAAGGCTGGCTGTTCCAAATTATCAATGTGAGAAGCAAAGCAAATCCTTGGCTGTCATTGCAGGACCCTATTCTGAATTGTCAGTCAAAATTGCTTCTGTGCTTGAGCTCTACAAGTTTCCACAGGTAAGAATCATGAGGAAATTAGCCCAGATTATCAGGAGAACATTGTTTGGTAGAAGGGGCTAACACCAGGGTCTTGATGTTGGATATGTGACATGGCAAAAAATTGGGAAATCTTATATTCTGGTATTATTCTTCATATGGTGCTCAAAGCAGGAAGATACAGAGGTAAGACATTGAAATGAGTAATCACCATTGCCCATCCTACTAGGATTTATCCTTACCAGCATGTACTGATGTGTATAACTATCTGTTTATCTCTCTATCTCTCTATTTCTTATTCTGTTTCATTAATATAAAAATTACATTACAATTACATTTCAATGATTATAATCTTGTTAGCATTTATTATATGTAAATATACATGTGTAACTGTATATTTTCACATATATATAAATAGATTAATGAAATCTTGATGGCACAATGGATAAAGAACTGGGCTAGCAATCAGGAAGACATCTTCATAAGTTCACATCTGGCCTCAGACACTTACTAGCTGTGTCCCTTTGGACAAGTTACTTTACCCTGTTTCTCTCAATTCCTCATAAGTAAAATGTGCTGGAGACATAAATGGTAGACCACTCTAGTATCTCTGCCAAGAAATTCCCAAATGAGGTCATGAAGATTTGGACATGACTGAAACAACTGAAAAACAAGAAAGGGAAATTGAGGCAAATGTGAGCTACAGATTTATCTGCAAAAAACTGTGAATAAAGGAAAGAAAACACTCTGGCAGTTACATTAAGGCCAATTTCTTAAAAGATGAGTACATGGTCACAGGAGCCAGCAACTTATTTAGAGATGAGATCAGCCTTTAAAAATGGAGAGGGATACAATAACAGACTGAGAAGATAGAGATTCAGATTCCAGAAAAGCTGCTTGGTCTTTGCAAAAAGAATGCCAAAACAAGATAGAATATTATCAACAAAGAAAGAGTCACATTATGTTATATGGTTTTAGTTACAGTATACTTTAATCTCAACACTGATTATGTTTCTTTCTTGTTCAGGTGACCTGTGATCCATTTGACCCCATTCTGAGTGACAAGGTCCGTTTTCCAAGTGTTTATCAACTGGCACCTAAAGATTCCAAACTTGCCCTGGGAATGGTCGGTTCAATAGTGCATTTCAACTGGACATGGGCTGGACTACTCGTAACAGATAATACCAGGGGTGAAACATTCCTCTGGGATATAAGAGAAGAGATGGCCAGGAAGGGTGTCTGTCTCACCTTTATCCATAAGATTCCTCCCAATGAGAATTACAGTCTTTTTCCCCATTCTGAAGTCATGGAAATACTTTATGCAACTTCTGCCAATGTAATCATTTTTTATGGGAGTAATAATGTAGTTTTTGATTGGGAATTTGAAAAAAAATTACTCGAATTATAGTAAAGTGTGCATTACCACCTCTCAATGGCATTTTAGCATGAGCCCTAATACCCTGCTTGTTGAAAGTTTCAGTAAAAGTCTGATATTTTCAAGTAAGAGAAAAGAGATTCCAACTTTCCAACCTTTCATGAGGGCAATTAAACCTTCCAAATACCCAGAAGATATTTTCCTTAAAACATTTTGGAGCTTACTTTTTCCATGTCCACTTAATGAAAAACAAAGAGAGGAAGAAGATTGTTCACAAAATGCTTCTTTAGAGCTTCTGCCTATGCGGAATTTTGACATGTCTATGTCTAGCCGCAGTTACAACATCTACAAGGCTGTGTATGCTGTGGCCTGGGCTCTCCATCAAATGCAGTTAGCTAGATCAGAAATGGAATACATGAGAGATGAAGGAAGACTAGTTCTATATCCCTGGAAGGTATGTTTCCATTTAGAACAATGGTAAGTCCATGTGTCCAAATATCTATCTCATTCATAGGACTGGAAAAATAGCCGTTATCTTTACAAAACAGGGAGTTGGTTACTTAGCTAAGTGGATTGTCAATAATTTTGTCCAAGAACCAGGTCTACATTTTTCTGATTAAATCATGAAAATAGTGGCTCTTTCATAGATCCCTCTCAGTCATGTTTACAACTTTCTCTCCAAACCAACAGAAGCTTAGGAGTGACTTCAACAATAGGCGTCATATCTTTGGTTTGTAGTTCAAAATGATCAGAGAGATAGCAAAGTGAGCTATTGAGTGTATGAATAGTACTAAAGCCTGTACCTATGCATTCTCTTCTACATTATCCAAAATTGTGGATTGACAAAAGTCAGAGAACTCACAACCAACCTATTTCCTATCCATCATATGTAGCATACCCACTCTAAGTAGGCTTCACCAGATTGTAAAAGGGATGTTTGGCACAAAATGATCTTTGACAGAATAATTTCCTGACAGTGATAGATGTAGAATTCAACTGATGAGATTTAGGATAAATAAATGGTTTGGGAATATTTAGGTTAGGCTGGTCAGCCAGTAAAGCTCCAGCATCTAATCTGTCCTTAAACCTGCTTTTTCTGCAGTCATGAAGCTAAAAAAGGGTACATAGTGTGCAGTTCTGGTTATTGTAAGTCAAGACAAACATTGATAGGTTGGATGTTGTCAAGAGGAGTGTATCCAGAGAAAGAAGGGTCTCGAAATCATGACATATAAGCATCAGATGAATGGAATGGGCATTTTTAGTTTTGGGGGTGGGGAGTACTCAGGGAATATGCGTGATGTTCAAGTATATGGATATCTACATGTTATGGAGATCTAGAATTGTCTCATTTGATGCAGAGGACAGAACTAGCAGCCATGGCTAGAATTTGAAAAGAGAAAAAATTAGGTTTGATATCAAGAGTAACACAATGATAAATAGATGAATGAATAAATAAATGAATAAGAACAGCAACAACACTGTGAAAATTAAATTTGGACAAAAATATAATGAGCTGCTTCTTCGGATTTCTTTCCTTGGAGGTCTTCAAGTAGAAGCTGGACAGTGATTTTTTGAGTGTTGTGGTGAGAATTACTTTAATAGGTAGTATTGCTTGATACCCTATGACATCCTTTCTTAGTTTTAAGCTTTATAATTATGTAGGGTAAATGGATTCCCATGACTGAAAGGTAATAGTTCTTATCATTATCACCATCATTGCCATTACTAAAGAACCATTTTGGGCTTCAGTTATTTCATATGCAAAACATTTAATAGAGGCCTGTGACATAGACCTCACAATTTGGTTACGAGGAAAATGCATTGGGAAACTGAATCTGAAAGAGATGAAGAATTTAGGTTCTGTGCAGCTCTCTATGTTCTCTGAAATAACTGAGAATAAGAGAGAAGAATCAACATTGAAGAAGGGCAAATCTTGTTTTTACTGAAATGAAACAGAAGAGAGATTATGAAAATGATGGACCATTGAGCTTGACCTAATTATCTGGATGGGAATTTTAAATTGTACTGTTAAAGAGAAGATTAGGAAACATGTCTAAACTGCAAAGGTCTCCAGCCAAGATGGATTGCTGGAGAAGAAGCAACCAATACAGTTACTAAATACTGAATCCAACAAAATTTTGAGGTTCACAGGACAGGGAAGAAATATCCAAGAAAAAAAATAAAATCTACAATTATTTCTTCTGTGCTAGGACTTTAAAGACAAAAAAAATGATACAGGCCATAGGAAAATGGGCTTCCAACAAAAAAGTCTCAGTGAAGTATAGAATCCCACTACCACCAGGCACAGTCCAAAGCATGTTTAGAAAACACAGCTTTTTGTCCAGAAGCAACAAGAGTGGAGAATGTCCATGAGCAAGTCTCAGTAGTTTGAAAAGACCAATATGATCAGAAAGTCTCAAAATTCTAGGTACTAGACAGTGAAGCTGGACCCATATATGGACACCCTAGGTCGAATGGCTTTGGTGTTCCACAACATTCTGTCCTAGAAAACTCAGGGAATACACTGAAGATCCAAGATCTTAACTTCTCAGATCCAGGGAAGCCTCATTTTGGGGCCAGTGTCAGCTCAGAAAAATAAAACACCTAGAGTGAGACTATGAAGAGGTACATATCCTACTTAAAACCTAATCAGAGGTTAGATCTTGACCTTACAAAAAGGTTCAATTTAATGTCTAAAGCTAAAGAGATGAGTAAATCAAAGAATATACGTATACATATACATGCACACATACATATATACTTGGACTTCATATACCTAAATATATAATGTGTGTATATATGTATATGCATCAGTATGTGTAGGTATATAAATTGCAGTAAATCCTAAATTATACATCATGAAATCATGATGAGAAACTGTCTGTGCCTATTAGATCCAAAGGTAAAAGTGAAATCATAAAAGTTCATCAATAACTTTGTAAGAGCAAGACCAGGTACCTAGGAAGCAGTACCAAGTAGCAGGAAAGAGTCAGGATTAGGCAGCATCTAAAAGTCCTATCAAAAAGAAGAGATTTTAGAATGCAATATTCCTAAAAGCAAGTATATAAGGCTTGCAAAAAAGAATGACCTGTTTATAACACACACAGGCATATATGAGTATGTATCAGTTTTTCACATATGAAAAAATATAGACAAAATTAAGAACACATAGAGAAATAAAATGGGAAAAGGAGGAGGAAGAGAATAAGAGAGAAAGAAACAGAGAAGGGAGGAGGGAGAGTCATGCAGCTATGCAGCTGCTCAGTGTCTCAGGAAGGATTTGAAGTTAGTTCTTCCTGACTTCCGGAGACTCTTGGACAAAACAATGAACTTCTCCCATGCTCATTTTTCCACATCTGTACAATGAAGAAAATGATAGCACCAACCTCATGGGACATAATCCAGTCAGAAAACTTATGTAGAGAACTTTGCAAACTTTAAAGCATTATATAAAATTTAGCTAACATATGTAGAAGTCTGAGAAAAGGAAGCAAGTACAAAGAAATACAAAATAGCTAAATGCCACATAATTTTGCATGGATCTCACTAGCACTTCAAAGTATGAAGAAAGACTTCATGTAGAAAAATAGTTTAAATTATACCTTGAAATGAGGGAGTGACTCTAGGGTGCAGAGGAGAGGAGAAAGTATATTCTAGGTGTGATGGAGTGTCCATGGCAAAAAATAGAGATGAGAGGTAGAATATCATGCAAAGAAGTGAAAGAACTGTTAGTCAGGAATACAGATTGTGAAAGTGGGAATAATGTATGGTTAGATGGAAATTGTATTTTGGGGCTGAATTTTGAAAAATAAACATAATAGTTAATATTTTATCCTAGAAATGATAGACACCTACTGCAGTTGGCTTTTAGAGGTGTGACATGGTCAAATGTGTGCTTAAGGAAAATCCATTTGGTAGCAATGTGTAGGAGAGACTGGAGTTATAAGAAACTGAGGTGGTGAAATCAAAAAAGAAGTTGGATATATAGATCTCTCACATTAATATTTCAATCTCCTATGATGAATGTGACATCTTTTTTGTTGTTATTTCCATAAGATGTTGCAGGTTTGCATAGAATTGAGTAACTTTATCCTCTTTGGCATCAGTGGTTGGAACATTGACTTGTAGTACTATGAGATTGAATAGCTGGCTCTGAATTTCAACCTATACCATTTTTATATTTTTGAGATTATACCCCAATAATCCTTTTCTCTCCCTTTTATTGACTTTGAGGGCTACTCCACTACTTCTATTGAATTCTTTCCCACGGTGGTAATTATGACGACCACCTGAATTCAATTCATCCTTCCCATCCATTTAAGTTCACTGGTACCCAAACATTCCACCTTCTGTTTGACCACATCCAACTTAGTTTTGTTCCTGGATGAGGTGACTTCCTGGGAGTTACAGCTAGTAACGGTCTGAGGCCATATTTGAACTGAGGTAGCTTAATCGTCCTAACTTTAGGTCTGGCACTCCAAGCACTGCACCAGGTAGATACCCAGTGGGTGAAAATAAGGGAAAGACATGGAATCAAGGGTACATTAAGTGATATGTTGGCAAGGAAAAGGGTCACTTTGCTCTGCAAGACTGGAGAAAATGAGTAGAGAACAAGGTGTTATGTCAAGGGTTTTAAGGTAAGATGTTATAGGAAATAGAGCACCAGACTTGAAGTCAGGAATACCTATGTTTAAACCATTCCTCAGAAACTTGTTAGCTGTGCAAACATGGGGTAAGTAACTTCAGTTTTGGACCCTCACCCTTGGAACCAGTAAAATGTTGATGTTGAACTGGGTGGGCTGCAAATCTTTTCTACATATATCCCTGCGATACTCTGGTTCTGAGAAGAAACATTTCACATTTTATGTCCTCAACATTCTCAGTAAATACTTGAGGTTCTGAGCTTAGGAAAACTTGATAAAAAGATACAAAAGGGCTCAGGAGAACAGAAAACTAATATGGGTAGTGAAACAGCAAATTAATTATAGATGAATTAAAGGATTTCCTGGATACTTGGAATGGTGAGATGTAGTATGTTACTATCAATCTATAATGTACTTAGTTCAATGGTTTGTGTGACTATCTCCAGCTCTGATCACCAGAAGGTGAGTTGGACTGAATAAAGTTTATGGAGTGAATATTCCATAGATGAGGCTTGGATGAGATGAGTAGCAGTCATAGAAATGACCAAAGCATTTGAGAGCATAAAATGAGAAACGTTTGGAAAGACTATAAATGAAGGTGAGATTGGACAGTCAAGAAAGGAAAATAATCATCATAGTTCTAATATCTTGAAAAAGTACTGAGCTATGAAGCAATTAGGAGTCCCCCTAAAGTTGATGAAAAAGGTTTAAGAAGGTGAGGCACAGTGAGAAATAAACCAATAGAGAGTTTTGATCAAATAAATGAAATGAAAGTGTTTAAATAAGAAAGTGCAGTCCTTAGATGTTTCATAAGGATGAGATGCAAATTATTATTATCTCTACGTTTGACTGAGAGAAAGGAAAACAATCTTGACAATTCAAAATCTTTTGGGTGTCCCTGCATGGAAGAATCACTGCTGTTTCTCTTCCCATTCAGCTTCACTCCTTTCTTAGAAACATGCAGTTTAACAACAGTGCTGGTGACCAGATGTTCATGGATCAGAAAAGGATTCCCATGGCAAGCTACGATATTATAAATTTTGTCAACTTTCATAATGGTACCGAAGTGCTGGTGAAAGTGGGAGAGTTTAAATCTCATGTTCTCTTCAGTGAAGATTTTTCCAATCATGAGAATGTCACAATGTGGGATGAATTTTATTAAAGGTTAGTAGAAACTCACATGGTGGTTTTTCAGAGGGTGTAGATATGATAGTCTATGAATGGGAATTTGGTTTTCTCCTTTTGTTTCCTGGTGAGATATATACATATATGTTGGTATAGATATATAGCATTAGATTTATACATATACGCACATACACACACATATTCATATATATATGTATATATATATATATATATGCATACATATATGCTTTTTTCCCAATTAGATATACCATTTCTAACATTCATTAAAAAAAAATAAGTTCTGTTCTCTCTCCCATCCTTTTTATCCTCTCCTTCCCATTTTGAAAGCAATCCATTTTTATAGGTTATACATGTGCAGTTATGCAAAACATATTTCCATGTTGTCATGTTGTACAAGTAAACAGAAGCAAAAAAAATAAGAAAAATAAAGTAAAGAAAAATATTATTTGATCTGCATTTAGACGGCATCAGTTCTTTCTCTGGAGATGGATAGAATTTTTCTTCATGAGCCCTTCAGAATTGTCTTGGAGCATCATATAGCTGAATATGGCTAAATCATTCAAGGTGGATCATCATACAACATTTCTGATATTATATACAATGCTGTCTTGGTCCTACTCATTTCACCTTGCATTAATTTATGTAAGTCTTTCCAGGTTTTTCTCAGACCCACCTGATCATCATTTCTTGTAGCATAATGGTATTCCATTATAATCTTATGCAACAATTTGTTCAGATTGATGGAAATCCCCTCAATTTCCAATTCTTTGACACCACAAAAAAACTACCATAAATATTTTAGTCCTTAGAGGTCATTTTCCTTTATGCTTTTAATCTCTTTGTAATACAGACCTATTAGTGGTATTACTTGGTCAAAGCATATACATGATTTTATAGCCATCTGGAAGTAGTTCCAGATTGCTCTCCAGAAGAGTGGAATTAGTATACAACTTCATCAACAGTACATTAGTGCCTCAGTTTTCCCACATCCTCTCCAACAACTGGCATTTTCCTTTCTGTCATATTAGGTAATCAAATTGATTTATGATGGTATTTTAGAGGTTTTTGAAATTTGCATTTCTCTAATCAATAGTGTTTTAAATCAGTTTTTATATGACTATAGAATGATTTGATTACTTCATCTGAAAACTACCTATTCATATCTTTTGACTATGTAGCAATTTAGGAATGGCTTTTATTTCTGTGAATTGGAAACAGTTCTCTATATATTTGGGAATGAAGTCTCTGTCAAAAAAGACTTGCTTTAAATTTTGTTCATAGAGATGATTACTATGAGCTTTTCTCCATCTTATACCCCCCATTTATTCTATCTTTCTCTCCTTTTACCCTGTTTATTCTCAAAAGCATTTTACTTCTGATTTTACTCCCCAAGGTGCTTTCACTTCTATCAGCCCCTCTTTCTCTTATCTCTTTCCCCTACTACTTTCCTTTCTGGAAAATAGATTTCTATACTCAACTGAGTGTAGATATTATTCCCCATTGGAGTCAATCCTAATGAGATTAAGGTTCATGCAGTTCCTCCCACCACCTTTCCCAACTTCCATTTCATTACAAATGCTTTTTTTTCCTCCTTTTTTATGTCAGATAATTTAACACATTCTTCTTCTTATTTTCCCATTTTCCCGATGCATTCCTCTTTCTCACCCCTTAGCTTCATTTTCTTTTTTTGGTAATCATTCCATCAATTCAACTCACACTCTGCCCTTTATCTATGTATACTCATATACTCCTTCCAACTGCACTAAGAATGAAAAAGTTCTTAGGAGATAAAAGTATCTTCTTCCCGTGTAGGAATGTAAATAGTTCGACCTTGTTGAATTCCTCCTGATTTCTCTTTCCTATTTCCCTTTATGTGCTTCTCTTCAATTTTGTATTAGAAACTCAAATTTTCTCTTCAGCTCTGGTCTTTTCATCAGAAATGTTTTAAAATCTGTTTCACTGAATGCCCTTTTTTCCCTTAAAGATTACATTGTTGTTCTAGGTAGGTCATTCTTGATTGTAATCCTAGATCTTTTACTCTCTGAAATACCAAATTCCAAGCTCTCCAATCCTTTAATGTAGAAACTGCTATATCTTTGATAATCCTGGCTGTTGCTCTGTGATATTTGAGTTATTTCTTCCTGGCTGCTTGCAATATTTTCTCCTTGACTTGGGAGCTATGGAATTTGGCGATAATATTTTTAGGACTTCACTTTGAGATCTTTTTCAGGAGATGATTGATTAATTCTTTCAATTTCTTACTTACCCTCAGATTGTACAACATCAAGGCAGTTTTCCATGATAATTACTTGAAAAATGATGTCAAGGTATTTTTTAGATATTGGCTTTCAAGCAGTCCAAATAATTCTCAAATTATCTTCCCTGGATCTATTTTCCAGGTCAGTCTTTCCTGTGCTATTTCACATTTTCTTGTCTTTTTTTAATTTTTTTTATTTTTTAAGCTTTCTTGATATCTCAATGAAGTTATTAGTTTACTCTTGCTTATCATCTGTGTACATAGTTTAAATATAAATTCATTTGGAAATTATTGATTGCTTATCAATTGACATCCTAGCTCATTTTTCAAAAGATAGAAAAATATTTCATTCATTTCATGTTGTCCAGAACTTAGTACTGTATCTTTTACATATTAGATAATGAATAAATGCCTGTTAAACAATTAATTGCCTGACTGATAGATTGGATCCTTTGAAACATGGACCAGTCTGTTCCTCCTGACCTTAAGAATTAAAAAAATAAAATAAAACGTTGGGAGGTAGTTGTGCAGTGGATAGAGCACCCTCCTTGGAATTAGGAGGACCTGAGTTCAAATCCATTCTGAGACACTTACTAGATGTGTGACTCTGCACAAATCACTTAACCTTGATTGCCTTTGAAAAGAAAATAAAGAAATCTCTTAATGATCCTTCCTCAAAAAAAAATAGTATTTCTACAACCATTATGGCCTCACAACATCACTAATTTCCAAAATGCTATACACCTTCTAGAGTCTACACTCTTTGTATGGCAAGCTCCTTAAAAGAATTTCTTTCTTTTTAAGACTCTTTGTTCTGTGTGCAGTGAGAGCTGTGGACATGGATATCGGAAATCTGCCCGTGAGGGACAGGCCACCTGCTGCTTTGACTGTATCCCCTGCCCAGATGGGGAGATTTCTAACCAGACTGGTAACTTTGTGCAGAGAGACCAGCTCCTTCCCCTTACCTTACAAGAAAGTCATATATGGGTTGGGGGAACAATGATAGCATAGGCTTTAAGGGTCCCATATAATTTTGGGGAAGCTTCTCACTTGGAGCACATGTGGGGACACTAGTGGAAAAATGCCAGAGATGGGGACAACCAAGCTAGGAATACAAAGTAGCCATTGTCAACAAAATATTTTAAATGGGATCCTTGAATTATAAAAACATGAACGCCTTGCTTTGTAGATTTGTGGTTATGATGCTCAACTACAGGCTTAGGGGAAAGCTAACAAAAAATAAAAATAAAAACTAACCACAAGGCAAACAGTAGCAATATCCATATGTGCAGAATTTTATACCTAAAGATTGGAAAATGACAATAATTGTTCATAAAACTCTGTTAAGTGTGCAGTAAAACTCTTTTTTTAAGCACAAAAATCTTTTTTAGGGAATATTTACTTATCTTTTCTTGTACAATATCTGAATTTAACCCATTATTCATCACCCTGTGTCCTCCCAGAGAGGCATACTATATAACCACAATAATTTTTTGAGGACAAACAAAAAAAGAAAGAAAGAAAGAAAGAAAATAATGAGGAATGGAAAATCAGTAAAACAGATCAATACATCAAAAATATTTTAAAATGTGTGTAATGTCATTGATGTTTAAGCCTCTGACCTCTGCCAAAACAGGTTATGGATGTCTTCTTATGATTTACATTTTACATTTACTTACAAAATTTCTGTAACTTAATGCATGGTCATTGCTTTTTTTTTTTAATTACACATCTTTCTGGGAAAATGTGCATATTTTAACTTGATGATTTGAAATATGCCTTGTGGTTTTTTTCCTAATTTTTCCAGTAATTTATTCAATCCTTTTCCATTGTGTTCAATGTTAGGTTAAATTTTTCCAAAACAGAGAGAATGAAATGAAAGTCTACAGTTATTTTTGCCTCATTTTTTCTTCTTTGAATTCATTTCATTTTCCCTTATGATTTTAGATGTGAAGGCATTTAGCCAGGCACAGAGTATTAATATTGCTGTGTTGCCCCTGCTTCTATTCAGGAAAATGGAGGTTCTGTGCTCATATTATTCAATGCTGACTTTTTCCACTTATTTTATAAAACGATTTCAAATGCTACATTTTTTAAATTTGTCTGATACATATTTTTCCAGGTCTCTACTTTTGTTATGTTTATGCATTTGTTTTTTATTGTGTTTCTTTTAATAAACAGATGGAATTTTTTCCTCATCCAACATTTCACATTTTCTTTTTCAAAATAGTAATCTAATTAACATGATTTGATTGCAATGTAATCTAACAGGATATAATATATGATACATTATGCGATGTTATGTGATATGATACCAGGTAATATGCTATGGTATACTAGGCATCAGCTTGCACAGTGGATACTGTGCCACCTTTAGAGTCAGGAAGACCTGAGTTCAAATCTGGCCTCAGACACTTACTACCTACTTGACCCTAGGAAAGTCACTTAACAGTATTTGCTCATTTACTCATTTGTACAATGAGCTGGAGAAGGAAATGGCAAAATACCCTAGTATCTTTAAGGAAAACAACAACAACAGTGAGCCCACAGAGACTTAGACACACCTCAAATGAATCAAGATCAACCATGTGCTACAATTAGGATGATGATTTTGATATCCACTCCTCTAATCAACATTTACTCAGTTCATTGTGATTTGATGGGTATCAGTGATTGTATTACTGAATCAAGCAGAATAGGATAAATTTTAAGTTGCACGTGCATATTAACACTGTCAGGTTGTGAATTATAAATGTGAGGACCAAATAACTTCTTTTTTATATTAGTGATATTGATGTTATGTGTTACTTATATCATTGTAGGGTATTGGATAAAATGGTATTTCTGCTCTAGAGAATCATATTTCATTAACCCTGGGACTTATTATAGCAGCATCAACGTCCCTGGCCCCTATGAATCATTACAATGGCTACTTGGTAGCATTTCCCCTTGTCCACCACTTCCTTAACTCCTAGGATCCTGCTTATCAAAACATTTGGGTTTTGACCTTCTTGAAAACCTCATGTAGGTGGCAAGGAGAATGTCTTTACTAGGAAAAACCTGCAGTTAATGACTCAAAAGCCTGCTGAGGAAATGATTACTAATGATGGACCTGCCTCTCAACCAATCATAAGTTTCCCAATTTTTGGTGTTAACCAACCATGAAATTATACAGCCTCCTTCTATTTAGTTCCCTCCTAAGTGTATCAAAATAGTTAGCACCTTAGAGGAGGGGTACAGAATTGGGAGGAAGATTTTGGAACTGATTAACTAGGGACTCCCAGACTTCCTAATAAATTGAAAAGGCTTTAAAAGCCTCACTCTCCCTTTGTTGCATCTTGAATAGAGATTTGGAGATCAAATAATATAATATATTTAATATAATATAACCTAGTGTGATAACTGCATTGTAGGATGTCATATTATGAGATGATATCTGGTGATGTGCCATGATATACAATTATGCAATGTGAAATAATATAGTGAGATATAAAGAAATGTACAGTAATGTGATACAATGTAACACAGTATTAATATAATACGGCATATTTTAATACAGTACAGTATAATGTGCTGTAAAATAATATAACACAAATCAGATTTTTAATCTATAGCTGTCATATTTCACATTTATCATTTGATCAATTTGTTTCTAATATTGTTTTGTTTTATGAATTGTTGTGCTGCTGGTTTAGTTGATTAGTTGTCTCCAAGTCTTCATGACCTCATTTGTGGTTTTCTTAGACAAAATAGTGAAGTAGTTTTCCATATACTTCTCTGTCTCATGTTATAAGTAAGAAAACTGAGGCAAACACGGTTAGGTAACTTGAGTCATACCTACTAAATACCTGTAGCCAGACTTGAACTCAGGTCCTCCTGATTGCAGGGCCAACATTTGACCAAAAATTAAGATTTTTCTTTCTCTTTTTAGCTGTATCTCTTTAAAATTAGTAGTTTGGTCTTTCATTTATTTTCAGTTAAACAAGTTGAGACAACCTTGTTCCCATAGTCTTCTTTCCCTTCTCTTTCAAACATCCATTTTGTGAGCCTTTACAACAATTTGGGGTTTTATTCATCAATTCCTTTTTCTTTCTCCCATTTATCATTTAAATTATCAAATTTTCCCTCTTTGTTTACCTCATTCTGTTAAAGATTGAAATAAAATTCACCTAATTCTTATTTCCTTCAACTCATTCTTTGTTATTTTTACCATTATTTCTTTACTTTTTTCTTTTTTTTAACTTTATAAATTTATTTTGATTTATCAACAATCACTTTAATAAGCTTTTGAGTTTTAAAGTTTTCTTCCCCTCCCTCCCCAAAACTGCAAGCAACCTGATATAGGCTATAAATATGCATTCTAGTATACATATTTTCACATTAGTGATGCTGTAAGTAGGAATTAGAACCAATAGGAGCAACCATCAGAAACAGAAAACAAAATGCAACAGAAGAAAAAAAATAGCAAATAGTATCCTTCAATCTCCATTTAAACTCCATAATTCTTTCTTTGGATGTGGACAGCATTTTCCATCATGAGGCCTTTGGAGATGTCTTAGATCCTTACACTGCTGAGAAGGGTTAAGTGTATCAATATTAGTCATCTCACAATGTGGCTGTTACTGTGTACAACGTTCTCCTGGTTATGCTCACTTCACTCCACATAAGACCATACAAGTCTTTCCAGGTTTTTCTGAAGTCTGCCTGCTCATCATTTCTTACAACACAACAGTATTCCATTACATTCATATACCACAACTTATTCAGCCGTTCCCCAATTGATGGGCATCCTCTCAATTTCCAATCCTTTGCCACCACAAAAAGAGCTGCTACAAATATTTTTGTACATATAGGTCCTTTTCCCATTTATATGATCCCTTTGGGATACAGCCCTAGAAGTTCTATTGCTGGGTCAAAGTGTATGCACATTTTTATAGTCCTTTGTGCATAGTTCCAAATTGTTCTCCAAAATGGTTAGATCATTTCACAACTCCACCAACAATGCATTAGTGTTCCAATTTCCCCACATCTTCTCCAACATTTATCATTTTCCTATTTTGTCATGCTGGCCAATTTGATAGGTGTGATGTGGTACCTCAGAGTTGCCTTGATTTGCATTTCTCTAATCAATAGTGAGTCAGAGCATTTTTTCATATGACTATAGATGGCTTTAATTTCTTTATCTAAGAACTGTCTGTTCATATCCTTTGACCATTTATCAATTGGGGGATGACTTGTATTCTTATAAATTTGGCTTAATTCTCTATATATTGTAGAAATGAGGCCCTTATTAGAGACACTGGTTGTAAAAATTCTTTCCCAATTTTCTACTTTCCTTCTAATCTTGGTTGCATTGGCTTTATTCAAGCAAACACTTTTCAGTTTAATGTAATCAACATTATCCATTTTGCATTTTATAATGTTCTCTATTTCCTGTTTCATTATGAATTCTTCTGTTCTCCATAAATCTGAAAAATAAACTATTCCTTGTTCTCCCAGATTGTTTACAGTATTAGTCTTTGTATCTGAATCATGAAACCATTCTGACTTTATTTTGGTCTATGATGTAAGATTTTGATCTATGTGTATTTTCTGCCCTACTCTTTTCCAATTTTCCCAGCAGTATTTTTTCAAAGAGTGGGTTCTTATCCCAGAAGCTGGAGTCTTTGTGTTTATCAAATAATAGATTACTATACTCATTACTTTCTTAAAAAAAGTTTTTTCCTCTATTTTCTTCTTGAATTCTCTTATCTTTCCTCTTATTCTAAATTGCCCTTTATTGATTTGTGGTGGTTTTAATTATTTATCCCCCTTCTAGTCTCTATATAGTTTACAGAACTAAAAGTATGAATGTCCCTATTTTGAGCACCCTCTTCTAAGACATTGCTGTTTTATTTCCTTCTAGATCTTAACCCTCTGTTCTTTTTTTTTTATGACTCACTCTTAAAGTTGTCAATTCCTTCAGGAGATATATAACAGGATTAGCACATGATAGAAAATTTACTGAATCTTTTATTATGTGTTTCAACTTTACACATTGTCATTGTCATGATCATTTTCTTTCCTATCTGCCATGATGATGATGATGATGAAGAGAAAGAGGAAGAGGAGAAGAAAAAAGAGGATGGTGGTGGCACTAATGCTGCCGAAAATAATAATAGTGTAAATATATCCTCTTCAGGAAGAGATATTGTCCACAAGTTACAGAAAATGGCATTAAAATTCCAGTCAAAAAACATTTTAAAAAATTGGAATCATTAAGAAAAGTTCTCCGTATCTGATATTTGTATAGGCCCTTTCCTTTATATTTGAAAGTCTTTCTCCTTGTTGGTTCTCAAATTTGCTTATTGTCATGGGAATTTGAAAATTTAGCCACTATTTATCTTGAGTTTTCAACATTAGATGTGTTTTGTTTTTCTGTTTGTTTGTTTTTGGGTTTCTTTTGTGTGTGTTGTTTTGTTTTCTTTCCATGACATCTGTGGATGCTTTTGATTTCTAATTTGTTTTCTGGGTTCTGACACACTGCATAGTTTCATGATTATCTTATTCAGTTTTTGGTCTGTCATATTCTTTTCTGGTAGACCTAATATCTAAAAGTTGCATCTCCACATTCTGATTTTTAAATCAATATCTTTTGATTGTATAGAGATCATTTTTTCTGTTACTGTTATTTCATTAGCCCTGAAAAGGTCCTTAATTCCTTGTAGTTGCATTTCTGATCAGTTTTTCTGTTTGGGGTTGGGTGAAATACGGCACTGTGAACTCTTGTTTTTCTATGCTGCCAATTATTTCAGTGATTAAAATTTAATTTTACATTCAAGATTCTTGTTTCTCCATTGATTTAGAGGCATGCTGCTGTGGTTAAATGCTCTCTTAAAAATTCTTTGTCCTCTGGATCATGACATATTGATTGATACAATATTTCTTGAAATATTTATTTGGTGATGTTGAATTCATTTAGTTCACAAGGGTCATCTTCCCTTAGTTTTCAGGTATTTTTCTGTCATTTTATATGCTTATGCTGCAGGATTTTGATGGAGCTTTCTTCTTCCTGAGATTTTTGGTTGACTCAGATTTTTCTTACATTCTCCTATCACTCACTTTCTGACTTGTTCCCATTTTGTTGTGAATCACCTAAGGGGTGGACCTCAACGTAGATTCTCTCCTCTCACACTAGGGAATTCATTTTTCACCACCTTTAGTCTGTGCCCTAAGGGATTTTTAGAAAGGGGAGAACAGAACTTGACCCAGCTGAATCTCAGCTCCCTTTCTTTCAAGCCTATGAATACAACTTTCAGGTCTTCAGGCCCCGGCATGTCATGAAAAATCAGAAGCTGTTTCCTTACCAGAATTCCCTCTTTGCTTTATTTCCCTTGATGAGTACTGGTGAACAAAAGTAAGGATACCACCATCCCAGGCACAGAAAACCTTTGCTTTCCTGTACCTCAATTTCCTCTGTCCAGGGTATGTGCATGGGTGATGACTGGGAGCTGAGAAGGCACAAAGTTGAGTTCTATGAATTGCCACTTCAAAAACGTGGATGAGAAATATAGGGCTAGAGCCAAAATGGTAGATTAGAGAAAGCAACTTAGATCAACTCTCTCAGATGTCTTCCGTAGTCTCAATATAATATTTAAGATGCATGTCACTAACATAATGACTATCTCCATTGGATAAGGCATTTGAAACAACCTTGTCATACAAGGAAATTCTCACTAGAACAATTTATCTATATTTCCTACATTTCTTGTCACACTGAAATTCTCACTCAATCTGTTTCTGTTTGTTTACTTGACTCTTTTTGCCTTGGAAAATCCTTCTGCCTTGCTAGTCACTGGCTCAGATACATGAATTTCTTTCAGTTCCTTCATTTGTGTCCAAAAAATCCATGCTTCCGTACCCTCTCAGTCTTGCTTCTGACTCAATAGGATTTTATAGCATACTGACAAGAAGGGTACCTTCATCTCTTTATTTTGCCCCTATACCAACCTCTACTTTTCAGCTCTGCTATGTGTGTTCTCTTTCCTGATTACAATGTAATACCTTGAAAGGAAGAATTGTCATTCATTTGCTAGTGTATGTGTGCCTAGGGCTAAGGACAGTGCTTGCCAAGTTCACCAGTAGTCATCAAGGGAGATTGCCAAGAGGTCATTGACTACCTCTGATCATAATGTACATATTTAAAGAGACATTATCGTATTCATAGCCATGAAATAATTTATCTGTGAGAAGACTTTAAAAAAATACTGTGCTCTTTTATAACTGGGAGGACCAAAGTTTCCAAAATATTAGCAATAACACATAGGAAATAATGTGTGGTGAAAGTGTGTTGGGAATTTTTCAGAATTGGAGAGGATCATGGCAGGGGGCTGGTCGTACTTGAGGAATTCTATTACTTTGTGCCTATGATAATGAGGATTGGCTGAACTTGAAATATTGAGAATATTTTTCTTCCCTTTAGATATGACCAGTGCATCAAGTGTACTGAAAACGAATATTCAAACAAGGAGAAAACTCACTGCCTCCACAAAGTAGTGACATTTCTGGCGTATGAGGAACCCCTAGGCATGACTCTGACCTGCACAGCTCTGACCTTCTTTCTCCTGACAGTGATGATCACTGGGGTCTTTGTGAAGGATCAGGACACTCCCATAGTGAAAGCCAATAATTGAACTCTTAGCTTCCTCTTGCTCCTCTCCGTTGGCCAGTGCTTCCTATCTTCTTTGCTCTTCATTGGGAAGCCCACTTCAGCCACATGTCTCCTTCAACAGACAATATTTGGAATCACATTCACAATGGCCATCTCCTCCATTCTGGCTAAAACAATCACAGTAGTTCTAGCTTTCAAAGCCACAATACCAGGGAGCAGGAGCAGAAATTGGGTGGGCTCCCAAACACCCATTTATTTAATTCTTATCTGCTGCCTCATCCAAGTGATTCTCTGTGGTATCTGGCTCTTGATTTCTCCCCCATTCCCAGATACAGACTCACACTCTGAACCTGAACACATCATCCTGAAGTGCAATGAGGGCTCTCTCATTGCCTTCTACTTTGTTCTGGTCTACATGGGATTCCTGGCTTTGGGGAGCTTCACTGTGGCTTTTTTGGCTAGAAATTTACCTGACGCCTTCAATGAAGCCAAGTTCATCACCTTCATGATGCTGGTATTCTGCAGGGTCTGGGTCTCCTTCCTCCCCACATACCAGAGCACCAAGGGGAAAATGATGGTAGCTGTGGAAGTCTTCTCCATCTTGAGCTCTAATGCTGGCTTACTGGACTACATCTTTATTCCCAAGTGCTATGTGACCCTTCTGAAGCCACAATGGAACACCCAAGAATGGGCAAATCATAAATCCTATGCCAGGGAAGCCATCATTCTAAAGCAGTCCCTTGTGCCTCCTAGCAATGCTATGAGATGCCTTAAAAATTCCCCAAATCCTACTTGATGTTAAATATGTGCTCACAAATGAATCTCTATAATCTCTTCATCTGAACAAGCCCTCCATTATTCTTGTTACTTTTCCTATTGTTACCAATACCCTGGAGCCAACTAATGCATGAATTTCTAAATTATTTTTTGGTTGTAACTTCTATATTTATCATCCATTTAAAACACAATTTATTTCTGTCAGTCATCCTATTTTTTCTACAAACCTCCTCCCCCAAAATTCTCTATCAATCCTCCATCTATTATCCAGTTCACTGATAGCCTCTATTGGGTAAGAAAGATTTCTACAACAAGTTTTAGTGTGTATGATATTCCCTCTTCAATCCAATTTCCCTTACTGTAAAAGATTTTTTTTCTTGTCTCTTTAATGTGAGATAATTTACCCCATTCTACCTGTCCCTTTCCCTTTCTCCCAGAAAAATCCTCTCTCATTCCTTAATTTAATTTTTTAAGATATCATTTCTTCATATTCAATTCACACCTATGCCCTCTGTGTATATAGACTCCTAACTTCCCTAATAATGAGAAAATACTCATGAATTAAAATTATCACATTCCGATTAGGCATGTGAACAGTTTAACCTTATTAACTCACTTATGATTTCCCTTTCCATTTCCCCTTTTTATGTTTCTCTTGAGTTTGTAATTGAAAGTCAAATTTTATGTTCAACACTTTTATTTTTCATCAACAATGCTTGAAAATCCTCTATTTCATTGAATATCCATTTTACCTGAAGGATTATACTCACTTTTGCTGGATAAGTTATTTTTAGTTGTAATCTTAGATAATTTACCCTCTAGAATACCATATTTCAAACCCTCTGGTCCTTTAATGTGGAAGCTACTAAATCTTATGTTATCCTGACTCTGGCTCCATGATATTTGACTTGTTTCTTTCTAGCTGCTTGAAATAATTCTCTTTGATCTGAAAACTTTGCAATTTGGCTCTAATATTCCTGGAAGTTTTCATTTTGGGATCTCTTTCAAGAAGTGATTAGTGTATTCTTCCAATTTCTATTTTACCCTCTGATTCTAGAATATCAGGGCAGTTTTATTGATAATTTCTTGAAAGATAGTATCTAATTGTTGTTTTTGATCATGACTTTCACATATTACAATACATTATTAATTATCTCTCTTAGATCTATTTCCAAGGTCAATTGTTTCTCCAATGACATATGCCAGAGTGTCTTCTATTTTTTTTCATTCTCTTGATTTTTTTATTGTTCTTTATGTTTCATAAACTTATTAGCTTCTATTTTCTCATTTCTATTTTTTAAAGGAATTATTTGCCTCAGTTAGTATTTAACTCCTTTTCCATTTGGCTAATTCTACTTTTTAAGGAGGGTTTTTTTTTTGGTGAATTTTTGTGCCTCTTTTGGGATTTGGCCAATTCTGCTTTTTAAGGCATTCCTCTCCTCATTGGCTTTTTGGACTTCTTTTACCATTTGGCCTAGTCTGCTTTTTAAGATGTTATTTTCCTCAATATCTTTTTCTGTCTCTTTTTAATCAAGCTTTTGATGCATTTTTCAGGATTTTCTTGCATCACTCTCATTTCAGTTCCCAATTTTTCCTCTACTAATTTTACATGATTTTCAAAATGTTTTTCAGTTCCTCCGTGACCTGTGGGCTGAGAGTTCTGGAAGAAGCTTCTGCCAGTGTTGATTCAGTAACTCCCAGGGCCTGCTCTGGTTTTGCTGGGACCAGGGCTGTGGTAGCATGGTCTGTGCTAGACTGTGCTATACTCTCACCCAGGTGTGACAGACCTGTCCTTCTGAACTTCTAATTGTCTTTGGCCTCTGTGGGCTGGGAATTCTGGAAACTATCATTACTATCTCTGATTCAGTTGCATGAGGCCTCTTTCTAGTTTGCTAGGATCCCATTTCTGCTAGTGCCGCATGCACTGGATTGGGCTCCTCTCTCACCCTTTTTGCAACAAACCTTCTCTGCCAACCTTCTAAGTTGTTTTTGGCTGGAAAACTGTTTCTTTCCATTTTCTGTGGGTTTTGCCACTCTAGACTTTGTTTAGTGTCATTATTTAAAGGTATTCAGAGGTGTCGGAGAAGATTTCAGATGAGTCTCTGCCTTAACTGTGCATCCTGGCTCCACCCTCAAAATTTTAACAAAACCTTAATGGTAGCTAGGTGGCACCATACTGGGTAGGACAGCAGCCCTGGAGTCAGTAGGATCTGAGTTCAAATCCAGCCTCAGACACTTGAAACTTTCTAGTTCTCTTACCCTGGGCAAGCTACTTAATACCAATTGCCTCACCAAAAAAAAAAAAAGGCTTAATACTAGCCTCTGTACCAATTATCATCATATCACACATCTATGTTGCTAAGGATTTCTTTTTCAATGTATGGGAATAAAATTGCTTGTCCCATACCTGATCAGTGTTTGTGTAATTCATATGTTTTGATTTCCTTCTCTCTTTCCATGCTGGATATGATACCTTAGACATTTTGTTTCACTTCTAAAAAATGTATTAAGAAATCATTTTATACAGGATTATGGACAGTTTTAGAGAGAAGGTGATCCAAGGTATTGATTTTTGGACTTGCTTATAACTAAATAAAAGTGAGAAAATGAGAAGTCATATAAATACTTGTACAATATTATTTTCAACCAAGTTATATACAAGAAAAACAGGAAATTAATAGAAGTTGGATGAAGAGGGGTTGGGAACATGGGATTTTAGCTAATACTTCAAGCAAACCATGGAAGGCAGTAGGCAGAGAGAAGAGAAAATCTCCAAAACATGGAGGAACCAAAAAAAAAATCAGAAAAAAAATGCCCAGAGGCAAGAAATGGAATGCCTTCTTTGTGGAACACCAAGGAGGTCAGTTTCACTGGATGGAAGAGTGTATAGTGAAGAATAAGGTATAAGGAGATGGGAAAGTTGGAGGACACTAGAGATTTATTATTTGATCCTTGGAGGAACACAGGAGTTTACTGAGTAGGAGATAATATGGTCAGAACTGTGTTTTAGGAAAACCATTTTAGTAGCTGATTAGAAAATGAATTGAAGATATACTTGAGGCATTCAGACCCACCAGTAGCCTATTTTCATAGTCCAAGTGTGAGATAAAGGGGCCTGCATCAGAATGGTGGCAAGGTCAAAGGAGAGAAGGGGATATAGTAGAGAGATGTTGTGAAGGTAAAATCAATACCTTTGTGGGGAGAGACATGAGCACCCTTGTCTCGTATCTTTAATCCCAGAGCTCCCCAAAAAATCTACACATCCAGGAATTAATTTTTGTTGGCAGCATGTGGTCAGAGAATGCTGCATGCTCCTCAAGATAGCCCCAAATCCAGGGGCAGCTAGGTGGCACAGTGGATAGAGCACTGGCCCTGAAGTCAGGAGGAACTGAGTTCAAATCCAGCCTCACACCAAACACTTGACACTTACTAGCTGTGTGACCCTGGGCAAGTCATTTAACCCCAATTGCCTAAAAAAAAAGGTAGCCCCAAATTCTCTTGTTGCCTGGTCACTACACCATTTCTCAGAAATACATTACTCTTGGTCTCTTTTTTTTTTCCTGATCTGTTAAAACGAGGTTAGACTGGATGGTTCTTGAGTTCTAAGTATAAATATAATATCTTAAGATCTTGATGGAATGGAAGTAACCTCACATTCAACAGTTTTTGGTTTAATTCCCATCTGTAACATGTATTAGCCATGTATGGCCTAGAGAAAATTATTTGACATCTCCTACATTTTGTTTCTTCTGAAAAATAGAGCCTGTTCTTGGGCATGATTCAGGTAGACTTGCATCAGCATGATTTAACTTCCCCAATTCACACTACCAACCACAGCTATTGTAATCAAAGATGGGATCAAACTTTGGCCACTGTGAGGTAACTTTTCCCAAGGTAGATGCGATTTTGACCCTTAGCCATAGTTGTTAAAGTTATCTCTTGTGCCCTATAACTTTTATACCTTATATATTTGGAGGTTATTTTGACCATACTTTATGACATGGGCACAGACAAAGACATTCTGTTTCTGGATTCCATATGGAAAGCTCATGGAAGATGATAGCAGCATGTACCTCAAATAGCCAAATGATGGAAATTATTTAGAAGGTTTATAAAAGCCGTGACTGCTGAAGTAGGTGAGAAATTGAGATGGAAAGATAATTTTGGAGATAAAGAAAATTTTAAAAAATTACCATCTCCAAATCCAGATACTGGCCCAGATTCAACATCTGAGTTAAATGAAGGGCAGTACCAAGGAAGACTAAGGAGGACTGAGTAGGATTCAGGAGTAGGGCCAGAAAAAGAAGGGAAGAAAGATTGTTGTTGGCCTGACATGACAAAGTAAGAGAGAAAATGAAAGTAAAACAATTCCAAGGTAATTTCAAGCTGATAGAACAGTTGAATGAGTGAGGCAAAATTGCAAAATCAGGAAGTTCATCAGTCAACAAATATTAAGTACCTCCTATCGGTCAGACACTGTAATAAATGTTAAGGATACAAAGAAAGACAAAATCAACATCCCCACGCTCTCAAAGAGATCACACTTTATTGAGGTAGACTGCATGCAAAAGCTATGTACAATGAAGATATGTGTGTGTGTTTGTGCATATACACACACACAGAGGATGAAATAAATATAACCAACAGAGGAAAAGCAGTAGCACTCCTGGAGATCCTGAGAGAGAGATGGGAAAGCTACTTTGGATATATGGTATATTGCAGGACTTCTTTATCTTTTCTGCTCAAGATCCTTTTTCCCACCAGACAATTTTATGTGATTCCAGGTTTATAGATACATAAAAGAGGTATACAAATCAAACATTTATTGATAATAAATCATAAAGAAGTTTATTTAAAAAAATTCTTCAGTACACATAATTTTTATATTATTGTGATATAGTATGTAAAGTATATATTTAACATAGCTATCTTTTTATATCTATTTATAATTTCTATGTGTCCTACCTTGAAATCTTTTTTTTTTTACTTTTTGATGATACAGTGGAGGTTAAGTGACTT